CTCGTATTAAAAAATTGAGACGAAAAACTTATATATCACTTACTGGTGTGTGGTTAAATACTTTTATTTTTACGTTTACAGCGGGAAACTGTGAGACAAGCGAGCGAGTCTCAAAGTTAATGACATAATGACTACAACGACCGATTTCGGCACCACTTCAAGGTGATAAAAAATACCTTCGAATGTTCGAGAAAACAAATCGGGCGACCGATTTAACATTTACCTGGCCAAACAATATACTCAAATGGGAAATCAGAATAAAACTTACTACGAAAAGTTAATTTCATAGACACTTTAAAATATGTTTAATTAAGAAAACTCGAAAGAAAGCTGTGGAAAGCGAGCAGTTGGCGGTTGTTAACACAGCTGTTGGAGTTCTCTTCGAAGAACGCTTTTAGAATTAAAGGAAGTCACGAACTCGAGATGATAATTCCATCAGGATCTCGCTTGATTTCTTTGCGTTTAAAAATACAGTATATATGCATCGTTGTAATACAAATCTTATCTCGTTCATTTTTGCTATAGAGCTCCTTAGAACGTAATTAAGAACTCAACGGTTACACTCTAATGCCATTATAATTTAGCGGGTTTGCAATTCGTGAAAATCCCGAAAATTGGCTAGCAAAATTTTCTCAGATAAACTTTTCGCGGAAATATTTTCACGTACAAAAACTGAGAAAAGTGTAAGCAAATCTTTATCTTATACCATCACCATGGTTACCACCCTATATTTGTGTTATGGCAAGCAAGTGAATAGTCTTTAAATTTCCATATCTTTTTTTTAATTGGGTTAATAATAACGTTATGCACTTGAACACAATTTCTTCAATAGAGATAATAACGGAAGTTAAACTGTCTCCGATCCGCTAAAAAGAAATTGAAACATCATCTCTTTACTCCGAGTTTTTAGCGATTTTTCATTCTAACGCGCAGTTAGGGACTGGTACTAGCTTCACACGTTGCAATTTTCTTCGATCGGCCCGCCATGTTGGCATTTCACAACGCGCGAAAACCGCTAACCCCTTAGCAAAATAAAGACTCTTTATATGTAGTTAACCCTATTCAGACCGGGGAGGCGGAATTTGCCCGCAGAGACTTTGACCGTTAATAACTTTTTTAATATTGAAATAAAAGCAGCCAAACTTTTCGACTGTACCTAAAATTTGGTATGTGGTACGTGTCATTGTTCACGGAACTTGCTGTTACCACGGCAACCATATTTTGACAGGCATGTCTTTCCAAATTTGAGCAGTTAAACACCTACATTTTAAAAACACTTTGTAATTACTGCGCGGTTAAACTCATTCTTACGACGACTATTTCTTCTTCATAAGGAATTACTACGTTGCAAATCTTTACTGTAATCATTTTCGCTATCGCATGTACATATAACAGCGTCCGAAATTTGTAGTCGTCCATTTTCGAATGTTTCCATAGCAGTGTTTAAGAAACGAAACAGCGTGTTGATACAAGCTGTCTTTAGTTTTTACTTTCTCATGATATATTTTCTTATCTAAAGTTGCTTACCTTAATTAGATTGCTATAATTTAGCAATTACATGTAAAATTGCTAATTTAATTTTAGTACTTGTTAAATTTAAAAATCGCTAAATTTTAAAGTTCGCTAGACGTGTGACCGGCCAAGACCACAAATAACAGATTTAAGAAAACTAATTACAGAAGTAGACCCTTTACTGTCCAAGACGTATTTAGAAATTAGTTTTGAAAACCGCCACAGATATCTGAATACCGAATTGTGAAACATAAGCTATAAAATTTGCTTTAATTGTTAAACATTGTAATTCAGATCGCAAAAAACTCTTTAAATCGAAGAAATTCAGTGTTAAAATGAGTTTCTTCAGTGGGAAAAATGGCTAAATTAAGTTGTCACTAAAAATATAACGTGCGGAAAGTGTCCATATAGCCTACGTGGCAGACGGACTCAACCGCCTGTTGAGTCCGTCTGCGACGCAGGCTAGTGTCCATATAGCTGTTACTATAATCTGTTTCTATAATCACTGTCTCACTGTCTCATGACTGTTTTCATAGTCAAGACAGCTATGAAAACACGAGCCGTCGGTGGCTGTTACCACAGCTGTTTGGAGTTTTCTGAGTTCTGAATACCTTGTCATGTTCGTTGATGGTCTGTCATTTAGAACTGACATTCCCACGTTTTTCAGTGGGTTTTTATATCGCTACTATCTTTAACCTGCTCTCACTTTGTTGCAGAGATCGGAAGAGTTCACTTCAGGACAAAGAGAAGATTTCTAGGTAATGTTGCATTTCGAAATCTGATGGTTCTTTTCTCCTGTAGATTATTCCTTTTATTATTATTTTGCTTTCCAAGCAAGTTTATCTTCTCGCGCGGTAATATTTCAGTTCTTTCTTTTCTCTGCAAATTTGTCTTTGTCGAGCATAAACTTGTTCTTTTGTTCTTGGCGTCTTGGCGTAAGCAGCTTTAAAATTAAGTTTCGCTTGTATAGAAAACCAATCCAACATCTTTTGTGGAAAATCAATTTGTTAACAAATGCATATAAAATACTTTAATTGATACTTATTTGTAGCTTAGCATTGTGGAACCTGTAATTTTCAAGTTAATTTCACGTTATGTCCTTTCATTTGAAATTGATACTGTACGTAAAATAAGAAACCTTTCACGTTGCCCTTCTTTGATATGTCAAATTGAAAAATTAAAAGTTTGTTTCACTAAGAGAAGACTTGCCTTTCAATAATTATACAATCTTTTAATATTTGTTTAAATGTACTGTATATTTTTTTTTACCGCTAGAAATCTTCATCAAAAGTGGAAATCTTTAACGAGAAAATCATCTAAAACCATTCGTCAAGATGGGGTTCAAATTTTCAGATATCTTTGGCAATTTTACCAGGCATTTTCCTTCTTAACGTTCAGCTTGACAATTTTGGCTTCTTCATTGCCCCATGGCTACTTTGGTAATCTAATGTTCCAACTCATTGTCACAGTCGGGGGTGCCCTTTTTGGCCGATGAAGAGTTTCCGATTGTTATTATCCAATCCACTTAAAATTGTCAAGCCCTAGACCTCGTCAAAAAAGCTTTTAAGCTGTTAAAATTTGACGTAAAAAAGGGAATTGCAAAGTGCAAATAAAATTAATTTGGAAAATATTCAGTTTCCGATTGTTATAAGGGGTCATGGATGATCCTTCAAAATTTTCAAGTGCTTGCAAAATTAGGCTTCTGCTCGAATTGCTCCCAGACTTTTAGTGGGTGCTCGTTTGCTCGTTCTCGCATATTTTTACAAGTGCTCGCATGCTCGGTTTTTAGTAGATTTTTGCAAAGTGCTCGTTGCTCGCAAGGCTAACTTTCATTAATGCTCTTGCTCGCAATGAAAAACGCTGTGCTCGTATGCTCGCAAAAAAAGCAAATGGTAAAATCAAAAGGAGCACAACCAGTACTTTTCAACCTGGAAACATTGCGTGTAGCATTAAATAAGTTACAACTGAATGTATGCGACCGAAAAATATAGATCCACGTCCGTTTATAAAAATATTCGGTGAGAATTTTCTCTGCAAATGAAACTTTGCAGTTTTGAAAGCAGTTTTTCCAACAAGCGCGCGGAACGATAGAACGCTGTACTGTATTGATAATTTTAATTTTAGAAGAGCTTTGGCGCTTCGTTTCGAGCGTTAGCCCTTCGTCGGAGCTGATCTAAATTAATGAAATGAAATAATGACTCCCGGTCATTGTGTTCAAAAGCGTAAACCTCGAATTTTCTCCGAAAATTCAGTTTCAGTTTCCAGCGGGAAGAATCACCCCATTTACAGCTGTTTCGAGAAAGGTTGTCGGAAAAAAGCGCACGCGACAATCCCGAAAGGTATTGTGGGTATTTTTAAGTTCACGTTCCTTGACTTCAGCATTTCAGGGAAATCTGAGAAAATGGCACGAGACGCCTTGGACGTATGTTTGCGAGTGCTAAAAGAAAGTAACAAAAGTAGGCATCGCGGGTTTGATGTATTTATTTGACTTATTAGAATTCGTTGATCATATCCCAGATTACCTTTCGGGATTGTCGCGTGCGCTTTTTTCCGACAACCTTTTTCGAAACAGCTGTATATAATTAGTTTCCAACCAGCTAGAAAGATCATGTTACAATCTATGAACTTAACCATGGCATGAATAAATATGATGTTGACTTCTGATGTTAACTTCTTTTATTGATTTTAGTTTATCTGCAAAATGGAAGTGAAACCAACTTGGAATATTTTTTGTATTCTCGTGATTTTCCTCGCCGTGACCTTCCAAGATGTCGCCTCAGGGCATTTACCAGGTAGTTGTTCATTGATAGTGTTTGTTATTATGTGCTCGTTTCCATGAAAAATCACCTCGCTTCAAAAGTCAAGTTTCAGTTTCTGTTGGAGGTAATCAGGATCATGCTAATTATGTACAACCCTTAAACTATAACCTTTCCACGTCTCTTAGCCAGTGAAGACTTGGGGCTTCGCAAATTAGCCCCGTACCAATTGGCCCCGCCGGCAAAGAGACCGTCGTGCACATGGGTAGGGCTTTAAGGAGAGACCCCCATCCCCTGCGTCTAATAATTTTATCACGCGAGAGAAGACAGGGGACTGAGTCTGTTATAAGGTACAACGTTTTACGACTGAATTGTTTAGGCACTAAAGAAGTGGCGTATTTTATGAATGCGCAATCTCTCAGTAACTAGGCACAATTTTATTCTACGTTTTCGTTAATTATTATAGCCGAACAGGACATATTTGAAACACGGAAATACTGAAAGCAATGAGACTGTTCAATAATACATCAATACATTGCCATCAAATACATACATCATCATTGCCATCAAATCTCTAACAATCGTATAATAAGATCGGTCAAAAGAAGCATAACAATACTAATTATGATATATATAGGAGTAGCATCATAGTATTGATGATGGGAGTTCCCTTTTCAACCTTCTTGCAAAACAAAAAGCAAAACGAACTCACAAAATGACCAGCTCCCTACGAGCTTGATAGCTCAGTTGGTAAGAACATTGCACCAGCATCGCGAGGTCATGGGTTCGAATCCCGTTCAAGCCTGATGTTTTTCTTTGGAGGTTTCTCTTTCAATTTTAAATATTTTACTGCGATGATCGACCTTATGTTTGTAATATCTTTCTCCCGCAGTTTCAGAGTATCTCAAAATAACTATATTTCCTTCCATGTTACTCTTAGCTGCCTGGCAAAAGGCGAATACGTCTCCAGTTTGTTTTAAGGCGAAGGGTAACCAGCCTGGCATGTTCTACGCTCCCACTTGTGGCAAGCTGGCTGCGGTGAAACTGGTTCATCTGTACGGATACGTGACCTGCCAGATAGATGTTAGCCCTTCCTACTGGTCTTTCTGGGGGTGTGGCAGTAAACCAGCGTGAAGAATCATGTTGATGCTGTCATAACAACATCAGACGGTAAGGTCCTTTTGCCACCAAGTCAGTTCGACAACTATGGTAATGGGAAGTGGTCAGAGATTCCCGGATATAACTCGAATTCCCCCTCGCTTGTGATGTCGGCTTTCTCCCCACCTACCGGAGTTGATGTTGGCGCGGGCGACGAGTTACGCGTGTGGTATGGTGAAGATTTGGTGAATTGGGCCGAAAACGACAATGATGGAGAAGTCTGCTGTGATGTTTACACTCTCATCATCTAAGGATCCGTGGCGAGTTTACAACTACAAGCTACTGGCAGATATTCCTAATTCGTTCGATTGATATTCGCTTCGGCTAGGTGTAGTAATTAAGGGCTGAATTAATTGTGATAACGTTTAGTTTTTGAGATTTTGCTATACGTAGTTGAAGAATTAAAGAAAGATAAAAAATGTCACTGCTTTTGATTACGGAGATAAAAAAGGGTTTTTTTGGATTTAGAAAGCTGCAAAAGAACTGTGACTTTAAATTGATTGTATGGTAATACTGTAGACCATAAGGTGCATAAATAAATATTTAAAGACTGGATTTATGTTTTAATTTGCAAAAATAAAAATAAATGCTGGGTAGAAAATATAATTATTGTCTTCTGTGGTCGTCATTTAATAAGTTAAGCGCAAAATGTTAGGATTTGATTGGAACTGAACTCTCTGGCAGCAGAACTGTCACGTTAGCCTGTTGCAGTCGTCCATCACAGCTGTCTGATAACCCTTTAATTTCCGAAAATGACCAACACTTAATTTCTCCTTACAATAACAATGCCTTTGCAAGCAGACAGGTGATGAGAATTACTTGTTTGAGCATTCCCGATCAATCACAATGTATGCAAAGGAATCGAAAAATAAATTGTGTTATGTTATTTAGAGGTTTTTCTGTCATGGCGAAAGACAAGAAAGATTTGCGATACCCGCCAGATGATCGAAAATGATGTGAAAATTTGTAGTTTTTGAATCTGCATATTTTAAAATTACGTGCGCGTGAAGCAGGTTGTTTTGCTAATTCAAAACCCCGCAATTAAATAGAACAACACTTCTAATTACCTCATCAATGACAGGGGTTTACTCTTCTACCTAGTCTCCGTAAACTTAAACATTTTTGGAAAGATCTTGAAACCAAGAAAATCATTTTAATATCCTCTTGTTCTAGTTTCCAATACACCACTATATAATGAACATATTTCGCCCCTGATGATTGAAAAACGTGGGTCTCGAGTTTCAGCAGAACAAAGTTGGTACTAAGAGCAGAACGAGAAAACAAATGAAAGTGCTGTCCTGCGAAATATACTTCGCCTCTTCCAGGCTGTCAGTTATATTTGTGCACTAAGAAATGAATTTCTTGCAATAAAATAAATATTTGTGCCCCGATATAAATATTTGTGTATTGCATATATTGGCCACCGTTCAATTTCCTCTGGGATGGAATCAAAGGAACGCTTTTCCTGTTGTTTGAAGAGTTTTTTTTATCCTGGTGATATTTATTAGTTCAATACCTCCGCAATTGCGAGAACTGTTTCTTAACCCTATTCTGCCTGGGCTTTTTTTTTTTTCGTTCGTGAGCCTGGGGGGGGGGGGGGGGGCAGATAGTGCCCCCCTATGTATCTCGGAACGTATTGACGCTATGAAAATGAAACTTACATGGTGTATAAACCATCCGAAAATCTTTATTTTAGTGGCAGTCACGTGTCAATTATGACGTCATACACGCCATAATGACGTCATACATTAAAAAAATCCGCCATCTTGGATCCTAAATCTTGGACTTCTAAATTGTTCAGAAATGTCAGAAAATCTCCAAATTTGTTTTGACAAAATCAAGAAAAATATAAAGATGCTAAAACGGCAAAGATTTTGGAAGGATTTCATCGTAAAAAGTAAAAATTTTATGAAAACTGAAAATTAAGCTAAAAAAAACAACACATTTGGGTAAAACGATCTGTATCACGAAAAGTATTTGTGCTATAAAAATGAAAATTATGTGGTGTATAAAGCATTCAAACATGTTTATTTTAGTGACAAACACGAACAATTATGATATCATATCACGCCAAAATAACGTCATACTTTTAAAATGTCCGCCATCTTGGATCCGCCATCTTGGATTTTTGAATTGTTCATAAATGTCAGAAAATCACCAAATTTGATTTGAAAAAGTCGAAAACAATACAAGGATGCAAAAATTGCAAAGATTTTGGAAGAAACTCTTCGTAAAAAGCGAAAATCTCATGAAAACGGAAATTTAAGCTGAAAATACCAAATTTGGCTAAAACGGCCTGTGAAAACTTAGTTGCCATGGAAACATCAAGTCACGTGATCAAAAAATTGACACACCAAAATGTCCCAGATAATTTTTAGGAAAAGTCATAAAGTTTGGCTATGATTGCTTGAATGCTCTTTAAGTACGATAAATTTGTAGTCAGCGCGGGCACTTTCTGCCCTCCCCCAGGCAGAATAGGGTTAAGAGAGTATTTCTACACAAATCAGACATAGTGCGGGAAAGCTTAAAAATAGAATTCTCTATCCTTTTGCATACAGTTAGTTCATAGTAAGAATACAAACGCTATGTAGTTTTTGTCTTGAAATAGTTCTATATTTCCGAGAAAAACCGAATTTTCGATTTCACCTCCAGACTCGAATCAGCGCGTCCAAAGTGGGTTGAAAATCGACCATTTTCACTCGGCGCACCTGTCGAAACTATCGAGCATATGAAAGATTTAATACTACCAACGTATTGCATGACTTTTCTTTGTTTAGAGAACACAATTTCAGAAGTATAGGTTTATTCTGATTATTGAACGGTACACAAAATCAGAGTATTCTCCAATGTTATGATCGTTAGTTGGTCAAAATAATTGCCATTTTAACCATGTGCCATATCTCGGAATCCCATAAGATTAAGGATTTTAACTGTGGAAGGATAGATCTTCCAATATATGTAAAGTTTAGTTTGGGCAAATGATTTCGCACTTCTCAAAAAATTATTCAAAATAGTAGTCGGAAGACATGAAATCACGCCAGCTGTCGTATGCGTGACCAAACGTAAACTACCGTATATGTGATTAAAATTACTTCAATTCGAAATACAAGCATTGCCTCAGTATTAAACAACATAAATATGCCCACCTTTGTTCGGTTATAATATCCTGACTGTTGCAGAATGTTCTTTTTCTTGACAATTTTCCAATGCATGGCGTTCCTTGAGGTTTGTGGGACGAGTACGCATCCGAATTGAAGTTGAACTGCGATCAAAACAGCTCAATACTATCAAGTTCCTATGCACATGTATATTTTGTGCTACTTAGGTTTATCAATATTTAAACAGTTATTCTTCGAGGACGCGCCGGATATGAGCTGATATATAACCAACGAGGCGCTTCTGTTTTAGTAAATTTTTCAAACACTCAAATAACCGGAAAATGCAAAAAATTATTTCCACTCCAAGAAAAATACATGCCTACAAATGTACAACAAATGCAACTGAACGAGCACTGAAGGAAGCCTGAAACAAACTTTGTTTACTAGAAGTCCCGAACGGCTGAAACCAATACAAATCTGCACAAATTTAAACTGAATGAAAACCTGTTTACACTACAATTTTAAGCTTAATCTATTCAGTATTGTTACCTTGTATTTCGAAGAGACTTGTCAATTCCAGCTGGAGTAAGCTTTCAAAATCAGCACAATAAATATCGGGAACGAGAAAGCATAAGCTTAAATATCGCAGTCGATCGTCAAGCGTTGGTGATGGTACAATCGAGGAGGACCACTTCACAGTGAAATTATCTTCGAACATCACTCTTTTTCTCTCCATCCATGTAGATATTGACGCTTTCCTTTGCTTTTTACTTCAGTGAACGTGATTTTAACTGGCTCAGTTTCGCTGGTTTCAACACAATGAATCAGTCTGTAGTCGTGCACGATTTGCTCGCCGTAAACAACCCCCGTTCAGCCGTTCATTCAACGTGTAAAATGATTATAATGTTCAGCTCCACAATTATTTCTGATCTTCCCATTTTAAGCTAAACCATTTGCACAATTTTCCAGAATATACGAAACTTTAGAAGACACAGAGCGAAGTTTAAAATTCTGTTTTGCTCTCTTTTCATTCAACTTGCAAACGGACACCGCGCCAGCAGTTTTTGCCGCTGTTTTCATACAAATCATTCTTCATTTAGATTGAAATGAAAAATCACTCAGTCGATTTGTAAATTTTTAAAAAGTAATACCGAAGTTTAACATAAAGCTAGTGACGTTTTTAATCAAACAATTATTCCATTCGCCCTTGTTGGATATACAAGTACAAGAAATTCATCATTTTTCCATATTTGGTAAACTTAAGGATAATGGCTCAGATCCATAGAGGAGGGAACCAATCAGAAAGCTAGAAAATCATTATCCAGAGGTAAATCATTGTTGTTCCAGCTCATTCCAGGACTATTTGTTGAGCTGAACAAGATGGGATATAGTCATTTATCCCAAAAGTCCGATCATGATCGTTATTTGCCCGCTAAATGCCCTCATTGAATACCATACATTTCGCCCTGCCGAAGGCTTGTTCAGTGATATCTGCAGTGGACAAGCCACCTGAGACAATGCTTTTCGTCTGCTTTCCAGCGGGCAAAAT